GGGGTGGAGCCCTAGCCAGAGACCATGCCCTTCCCTTCCCAGCACTTCCCTGCCCATCTTCCATATCAAAATGGTGCCATGAGAGCAGGAGAACAAGATCTGAGAAAAGACCATTGGATTCAGCAACTAGAAAGCTGGCATGAGCCCAGTGCATTCAATGAGTCCAGTGCATTTAATGAGTCCAATTAATGGCAGAGGCTGAAAAGGTGATGCTGGAGTGCAACAGAGACCACAGGTGCAGAGAGTCTAGAAATTAGGCTAGGAAAGAAGACAAGCCGTGAGAAGACAGCCTGAGAGGTGCCCGGGTCCTGTCACATAGCCTCTGGATCTGGCTTATTTTGTTAAAAACAACCAAGGGCCGGCCGGGCGCGGTGGCTCAAGCCTGTAATCCCAGCACTTTGGGAGGCCGAGACGGGCGGATCACGAGGTCAGGAGATCGAGACCATCCTGGCTAACACGGTGAAACCCCGTCTCTACTAAAAAATACAAAAAAAACTAGCCGGGCGAGGTGGCGGGCGCCTGTAGTCCCAGCTACTCCGGAGGCTGAGGCAGGAGAATGGCGGGAACCCGGGAGGCGGAGCTTGCAGTGAGCTGAGATCCGGCCACTGCACTCCAGCCTGGGTGACAGAGCGAGACTCCGTCTCAAAAAAAAAAAAAAAACAACCAAGGATTCCCATCGGAAAACCCTCTGACCACATGTTCAAGAGACACCAAATATCTCTCTAACTCTGAGACTTTAAAAGGGCAATTTGTTTTCGCAGGATCTAGAATGCAAGCCTTAGGAATGTCATTTCCTCCGCACTGAAAACACTGCAGTAATCTCGATACTGGGCATTTTGTAAAATGAGAATCACTGTCTGCCCTGCAAAGCGTCTCCCACTCTCCCTCCTCCTCCATGGACTCTTCAGGGTCTCCTCTTTGAACCCCAGTCCTATGCCTCTTCCCTTTTGGCCTCCTTTGGCACAGATTATTTCAACAAATAGTTATTGAAACCAACAAAATTGCATCAAGTCAAAGGCAGCTCATTGAAATTCTTTTCCTCCTTTACTTCCACCCCCACTCCCCAGGCTGGGACAAAGAAAGTGTGGAATAGATTCAGAGCCCGCCAGCTCTCAGACTAAACTGGCCTCCCCCATTTCCTGGTGGACTGTGGCTGATTCCCACCCAAGCGCTATGTCCCCCACCTCTTCCAGGGTCCTCTCCTAAAGATGCCTATGTAAAGTGTGGCCCATGTGAAGTGTGGCCCTCCTTAGAAGCACCCGGGTTCTGGGGTCCTCAGAACCCAGGCTTCTCTCTGGGTTGGAAACAAAGTCCAGATGCTCACTCACTGCTGATGGGAAGGTTAAATGGTGTAAGCACTTTGGAAAGCAGTTTGGCAGTTTCTTAAAAAGTTAAACTTACCATTTGATCCAGCCATTCTACTCCTAGGTATTCACCCAAGAGAAAGGAAAGTTGACGTCCATGCGAAGACCTGCACGAGAATGTTTGAATGTCTATAGCAGCTTTATGTGTGATTGCCCCAAACCGAAAACAATTCAAGTGCCCATCAGTCACTGAATGCATAAACAAAACGTTGTGCATCCATATAGTGTCCTGCTACTCAGCAGTCAAAAGGAATAAGTTACTGATGCTGACAATACAAAACTCTAGAAAATGGAACCTAATCTATAGTGACAGAAAGCAGTGGTTGCCCAAAGGGGAGATTGGGAAGAGGTGGAAAGGAAGGTGTATTAGTCTGTTCTCACACTGCTGATAGAGACATATTCAAGACTGAGTAATTTGTAAGAAGAAAGAGATTTAACGGACTCACAGTTCCACATGGCTGGGGAGGCCTCACAGTCATGGTGGAAGATGAAAGGCACATGTTCCATGACAGCAGGCAAAAGAAATAATGAGAGCAAAGCAAAAGGGGTTTCCCCTTATAAAACCATCAGATTTCATGAGACTTATTCACTACCACGACAACAATATGGGGGAAACCACCCCCATGATTCAATTATCTCCCACACAGTCCCTCACACAACACGTGGGAATTGTGGGAGCTACAATTCAAGATGAGATTTGGATAGGGGTACAGCCAAACCATATCAGAAGGATTAGAAGACACACAAGGAAACTTTTGGGGGGAATGGCTATGTTCATTACCTTGATTGTGGTTATAATCACACCGATGCATGAATAAATCAAAACTCATTGTATTGCATGCCTTAAATGTGTGCAGTTTACTGTATGTTAATTATACCTCAATAGAGCTGTTCAAAAAAATTTTTTTAAGCAAAGTCCAGGAGAAGGAAGGTACCATGGCTTAGTTAAAGAGTAAAATCTTTCTCATGGAGAAAGTGCTCTGTTCCTGGGTTGACATGAGCTGACATTTCAGCCTCTATTTCCTGGACATTGGACCAGGTGCTATATCGTTGAAATCACCCCTGCAATTTTATTTTTTTATTTTAAAAATGAAGACGGGATCTCACTGTGTTGCTCAGGCTGGTCTCAAACTCTCGGGCTCAAGCAATCCTCCCACTTCGGTCTTCCAAAATGTTGGGATTACAGGCATGAGCCACCACACCCAGCCACCCCTGCCAGTTTAGAAATAAGTAGATTTGCTTTCCACTTGATTCCTATATTCCAAAAAACCAAGCAAAGAATAGTTAGGAAATACTAGGTTTGGTGAACTGAACAAACAGTGAAAGGTGGGTCATATTTCAGAGAAAAGAGGATCTATCTCTATTGGTTAAATTCCTAGAATTTGCTGTATGGTCGCAATTAAATTGGGGCCGGTGTGGTGGCTCACACCTGTAATCCCATGCTTTGGGAGGCCAAGGGAGGAGGACTGCTTGAGCCCAGGAGTTTGAGAGCAGTATGGGCAACCTGGTGTGACCTTGTCTTTCCAAAAAATTTAAAAACTAGCTGAGCTTGCTGGTGCATGCCTGTGGTCCCAGTTGCTCAGGAGGCTGAGGTAGGAGGATCACTTGAGCCTAGGAGTTCAAGGCTGCAGTGATCCATGATCACTCCAACCTGGGTGACAGAATGAGATCCTGTCTCAAAAACACAAAAAACAAAACAACAACAAAAAACAACAACCAAACCTAAATTGGGCTTATTTATAAATGTAACTCTTTCCTTAAATGTTTAGAAGCATCCATTTACTCCTTTCAAAAGAAATGTATATGTATGTTGCTTTAAGTGAATGCATGACATTTATTGTATTGATGAACCATGATTTATTTGGCTTTCTTCAGTAACCTTCTTATTGGATGTTTAGGTTATTTCCAATGTTTTACTGTTATATATCATAGCAGACAATTTGGTCAAGAGCAATTTGGCCGGAAGCAAATTGATTAAGCTGTCAGTATCGTTGGAATGCTGAATTCGTTGATAATGAAAGTTCTCAGTCACTATGTTTATACAAAGAGGAAATTTTTGTTTGCCAAGGGGAAATTTTGCCTGGAATGATTTTCCAACTTTTTATGAATCTTTCAGCAAAATCATCATTTAAAAAAAATCTTAAGTTTTGTTTTCTTCTTTTCAACACCTCCCTATTTCCAATCAATTATGCCCTGGTGGCTGGGTGCAGTGGCTCACGCCTGTAATCCCAGCACTTTGGGAAGCTGAGATGGGCGGATCAGCAGAAGCTAGGAGTTTGAGACCAACCTGGTCTATAGTCAGTGTGCTGGTTAGTAGGCCCAGGGTTAGTAGGGTAGTGGATTTAAAGTGAAATCATATAACTAGGCCAGATGTTATTAGGAGGGCTGAGAGAGCTCCTGTTAATGGCCAAGGGCTGGGTTTAACTGTGTGGTAGGCGTGTGTCTGGTGGGTCATTATGTATTGTTGTGTAGGTAAAGGTTTACTAAAAGTGTGAAGACATAAGCTTGGATGAGGGCAACAGCAAACTCAGCCTGGCCAACATGGCAAAACCTCATCTCTACTAAAAATACAAAAATTAGCCGGGTATGATGACACGCACCTATAATCTCAGCTACTTGGGAGGCTGAGGCAGGAGAATCACTTGAACCTGGGAAGCAGAGGTTGCGTGAGCCAACATTGTGCCACACTGCATTCTAGCCTGGGCAACAGAGTGAGCCTTTGTCTTAAAAAAAAAAAAAAAAAAAAAAATTATGCTCTGGTTTGGGATTAGACTAGCAAGGAAGCAACTGAAGCAACTATCGCCTAAAAGATGGAAATGACCCTAGTGTTCACCATTTCTTGTCTTGAATAGAATGTTCAAATTTTATGATATGTGCACTAGTGATTGAAAAACTAATTCTGGTTCAGTTTGCTAAATTAATACTTTCAGGAAAACATGGCTGAGTAAACAGAGGAAGAATCAGTTACAGAAAATAAAATCTCTCCAGACTTTTTTTTTTTTTTAGTGTAAGTAAAGTTCCTAGTATTATCCCTATCCAGGTAGAGAAAAAAAAAAAAGTTAACCTCTGGCACCCGGGAACCAGTCTGATACTCACAGCAGGGCCACGGTGTTCTGCTGTTGGACAGACACAATCTCACAGAACACAGACAAGGTCACTCTGCAACCAGGATAAAGTAAACTGAAAAGAAGGTCATTGTGTAACCCATAAGATACCAAACATCTCTTTTTCTCATCTAACACGAATGACTGCTGCTGCTTTGTCAATTACAGCTTTATCCTTGATTTAGTTTGCCTTCTGTATGCATAAGACTTATAGTAATACTGAATTCTAGAATTGTGGCTGCTTTCTGACAGCACTGAATCTAGAGTGAGCCTGTTTCCTTAAGCCTTCCCCCAGATTACTCAACCAAAGCCCAAATCCTGTACTAGATTCTTTCTAACACCCTCTACGGAAACTCCCACAGTTCCCCAAGGTATTTATGCTCTCTAGTTTCCACCAGTAACAAAACCAACTTGCTCAATAACAGGTGTGTTCCTGGGTGGTCTTTGGCTGAAGGGCATTGACAAGGTTCTTTAATTCTTTGTTCCTTTTATGTATTTGTTTTCTTTCAATAGCAAGGCTTTCTCTTTTCAGGCAAAACAGGAAAACCAGACCAGCAGAGAGGAGAGAGACCAGCAATCAGACCCTCCCAGAGACAATCACTGTTAACACACTGGTGCAGACCTTTCCTAATTTCTTTTCTATAGATATATGTTATACTTTCCCTCTTTAAAAATAGAACCAAATTATTCTATTTTGTAGTCTGATTTTTTTTTTCCAACTTACGACAGCGATGGTTTAATTTTATGCATTACCTTGGCTAGGTTATGGTGCACAGTTGTTTGGTCAAACACCAATCTAGATGTTGCTATGAAGGTATGTCACAGAAGAAATGTGCACCTACAATCAGCTGACTTTAAATAAAGGAGATTACCTTTGATAATGTGGGTGGGCTTCATCCAATCATGTGAAGGTCTTAGAGCCAAAACTGAGGTTTCCTGGAGAAGAAGGAACATGGAAATCTTCCTCAGTTTCCAACCTGACAGCCTGCAGATTTCAGACTGGGCTATAACATCAGCTCTTGTCTGAGTTTCTAGCCTGCCAGCCTACCCTACAAATTTCAGACGTGACAGTCTCCGCCAATCATGTAAGCCAATTCCTTAAAATCTCTCTCTGTCTTCCTGAATTCTGTTTCCCTAGAGAACCCTGATGGACATAATGACCACCTTTTGATGTAAACAGAGGCATACACTCTATCCTTTCTCTACCATATTCCTTAAAATGAGGCACACCCATCGTATGCTTGCTCTGTCCTTTCACCAACTCCCTATTGACAGACATAAAACAATCTTTTTGCTTCTTCTTATTAACAGCCCAGAGCATATTTAATTGTCTGAAAGGGAATTAGAAATTTTAAATGTAGAGGAGAATAAAATCCCCCAAATTTTGAAACATATTTACTTTTTTTTTTTGTCTAAAGGAACAAAAAGGTCATAAAGCTACTCCACAGGGGATTGAAATTACCTGCACCCATGATTGCAATATTCTTTTCAACCAAATTGTCACAGAGACTACACTGCTATTGCCACCATTGTGTTTTCAACCAAATCCAATGAAGCCACTGTAAACCAGGCTATGATAGGACATTCTTGTAATTAAATTTTTTGCACACATCCTGAAAATATTTCCTTACATTAAATTCTCAGAAGATGAATTGCTGAGTCAAGCAATCTGCACTTTTAAAGCTTGAGATCTATAATTGTCCCCTTGGGATTAATTCCAATTCGTGTGTTTATTAGATAAAGTTTTTGAGCACCTCCTATATATATATATATATATGCTGGAGTGTGCCAGGCCTGGAAAACAGAGACAAATAAGCTATATCCTTGGCTTCAAGGAGCTCATGGCCCCTTTCAGTTGCCTTTTTGCCTAGCACAATGAGCCAACAGCAGGCTCTCAATACATATTTGCTAAATAAGTGGATGAAAGAATAAATGAATGAATGCATATCAGTTGGCTTTTCCTATGTAGCAAACGACCTTATCATAGGATTAAAATGACCAACAGTTATGATTTTTCATGATCCTGTGGGTCAACTGGGTGGTTCCTCTTGTGTGGGGTATGTGACTAATCTCTGTGGGCAGCTGGTGGCTCAGCTGGGGCTGTATGATCTAGCATGGCCTCACTCACCTATCTGGCATTAAGCAGACTAATTGGTCCTGAAGGGCTTCAGTTGGGAGGGCTCATCTCTGCTCCATGTAGCCTCTCATCCTCCAGGTGGCTAACTCAGGCTTGTTCCTATGGTGGACTCAGGGTTCCAGTGACCAGCAAACAAGGGCAAGTGCCAAGGCACAGTACTAGTCAAAGCTCTGCTTGGGGGGCTGGGCACGGTGATTCATTCCTGTAATCCCAGCACTTTGGGAGATTAATGTAGGTAGATCACTTGAGCCTAGGCGTTGGAGACCAGGCTGGACAACATGGCAAAATTCCATCTCTACAAAAAAATAGAAAAATTAGCTGGTCATGGTGGCCCACGCCTGTAGTCCCAGCTACTTGGGAGGCTGTGGTGGGAGGATCACTTGAGTCTGGGAGGTTGAGGCTGTAGTGAGACGAGACTGTGTCTCTGCACTCCAGCCTGGGCAACACAGTGAGACCCTGTCATATATATATATATATATATATGCCTGGGCCACATTTGTTGCTTTCCCATCGATTGACTCAAACCTCACAGTAAGCCCAGAGTGAAACTAGAAGGGTGTGGACCTAGGGTATGGCTCTCGCGAGGAAGATTCAGCGGCATTTTGGCAGTCTGTGCAGAAAAGACGTGCCTTTGCTTCGAAGCTCCTGGCCTGTGTCCATTTACCTAGATGCTTAAGTTGGAAACTTGGTTCTTTGTTTTCGAAATTACACTTTGAACCCTGAACTTTTCCACTACATGTGTTTAGCTCTGCCTTCAAAGAACCCAGTGTGTTTGATTCCGGAGGACATGGCTAAGAAAACCGTTTCTGGGGCCTCAAATGCATGTTCACCACCGTGTGCTTTGACCTTTTCCTTCATAAGTGTGGAGAATGATAAGTCAGTGTTGCTGAAGCCACCGGTAACTTATCTGATCTCTCCTCATGAGCACAGATAAAGTTCAATCTTTACCCTGGTCCCCCATCACATAGCCTATTGGCACTCCATTTGCTCAGCACTTGGAAGGTGACTGAAGGTAAAATTCCTTAGCATCAATTAAACATTTGGCTCAGGATAGCAACATGAGAGACCTTTTGGGGCGAAAGGGGTGCCTGTCATTAAAAAAAAAAAAAACTGCTGATTTTCAAAGAATCATTGCTAAAAGATCCCTTTACTACCACTTCTAGCCTGGAAATCTCTGCCTCCTGTTAAACACACGTGGCGTGTTTGAAATGGGAGAAAATAGCTGGTAGAAATCTCTTGCATTCTTTACTTGAGAGGGCACAGAGGTTAATTTGGGAAATAGTTCTCTAATGGAAGCCAGATTGGGGAAAGTTAGGAAACAAATTTAAAAATCATGTCTCCAAAGTAAGTGAGAAAGACGCTTTATTTATTTATTTTGCATTCAGAATAAATAACCACTTATTAAAATTTGGGGGTTTTGTTTGTTTTTTGAGGGGGACACATTTTTATGGCATGGGCCCCTACTTGCATGGGGCTGTCTCGGTCAGTTAGATGAATAGGATGATCTTAATAGCTGCAATTTATTCTCCCTTTGGGGACACCAGGTTCAGAAGACCATTTATAAGCTGTTTATTCTGGCGTATTTGATTCTGAGAAAGTCTTTTGACATTATCATATGGAGAAGCTTCCCTGCAAATGCAGAGTCAACCAAGTTTACCTTCTAAATTCTTCCCTTTCCTGTTGTCTCCCACTCCACAAACACCACATACACACATACACACACACTGAGACCCCACATACATTTGTCTTGTTGCCCTAGGAACAGTGTAGAGCAGTGCTTCTCAAATTATCTGGGGATAAAAGGTCAGTTTTTGAGATTTCTTTTTTTGTTGTTTGAGACAGAGTCTTGCTCTGTTGCTCAGGCTGGAGTGCCATGGCACAATCTTGGCTCACTGCAACCTCCAGCTCCTGGATTCAAGTGATTCTCATGCCTCAGCCTCCCGAGTAGCTGGGGTTACAGGCACCTGCCACCACGCCCAGCTAATTTTTGTATTTTTAGTAGAGAGGGGCTTTTGCTGTGTTGGCCAGGCTGGTCTCGAACTCCTGACCTCAAGTGATCCATCCGCCTCTGCCTCCCAAAGTGATGGGATTACAGGCATGAGCTAGTGCACCCAGCCAGTTTTTGAGATTTCTGATCCATTGCAGACCAATACAGTAAAGTATAATTGACATAATTTAATAGAAAAAAAACCAAGGCATACAAAATATGAGCTCAGTGTTTTTTTATTATTAGATTCAGCAAACATAAAAGCGCTCAGTTAAAGTGCTTTACAAGTTTTGAAACACCCTCAATGTCTGCACTTAATTTGTTGCAAATCGATCATAGCCAGTGGACAAGCAGTATCAGCTGGTGGCCCCCACTTACACAGCACCGATCTAGAACAACCCCATTTCAGTGGCCAACTGAGTGCCTAGCAAACGTCCATCCACATACTCATCCACATGTCATTCACACATTTATCGAGCCTGTGTTCCACATTGGGAGCTCTATGAGACACAGGTAAAACTACAAACCCATCCCTGTCTGCTGTGATTGGGGAGCCCACGGGTAGCATCTCACCCAAGTGTCAGGGGTCAGGCAAGGCCAGCTAGAGGAGGTGGCATCTAAGCAAAGTCTAGAGAAAGGAGGGAGAATGGGTTACGTGAACAGAGGGGTTTGGAAAGGTGAGGGGGCAAAAGGAAGAAGTCCTTTCCAGGTAGAGGCAACTATATTTGCAGGTGTCTTGGACTGTTAGAGGCGCAGCAGGTAATTCTCTTTGCCAGGATACAGAGTTGGAGGAAGGGAGAGAAGGGGCTGGGGCTGGAGAGCTGGGGTCATGGTACAAGTTTTGATGTTGTGTTAAGGAGTAAGGGCTTCCTCCTGGAGAGCACAGGGAGCAGCTGATGGCCTTGATGGAGAAGCCCCCATCAGTACATGTGCATTTAGGAGGCTCCCTGTGACTGCTGTGTGGAGCGGCTGGAGGCCAGCTATGAGGAGCACAGTCTAGACAGATGCAGAGCCCACAGGGCCCTGAGATAGATTGTTTGCAAAAGAGAAAGAAAAGAGGCTGGGCACAGTGGCTCATGCCTGTAATCTCAGCACTTTGGGAGGTCGAGGCAGGCGGATCACTTGAGGCCAGGAGTTCGAGACCAGCCTGGCCAACATGGTGAAACCCTGTCTTTACAAAAAATAGAAAAATTAGCCGGGTGTGGTGGCACATGCCTGTAGTCAACTACTCTGGAAGCTGAGACACAAGAATTGCTTGAACCTTGGAGGCGGAGGCTGCAGTGAGCCGAGATTGTGTGACTTCACTCCGGCCTGGGTGACAGAGAAAGACTGTCTCAATAACCCAAAAAAAAAAAAAAAAAAAGAGGGAGAGAGAGAGAGAGGCTTGAGGAACTCTTGACATAGAACAATGTAGAGTGTGGGTGTGGGTTGCCCAAAGCCGGCCCAGTGAAGAATGGGGTTGAGCCAACCTTCAGGTCACAGCTTCTACTCCAGCCTGGCACCATTCAGGAACCACACACAGCCCAGATGGATAGCTTTCCTA